ATTATGATATCTTCACCATTTTCCACCTGTAGTTGGGGAATCACTGGCAAGGCATCTTGAGATGCTGACATTGCCATAGCAATAGCTAAAGCTTCCTCCTCTTCAGCTTCCATCTTCTCCTTGCATTTCTGATTATGGTTTACATCATCTTTGTAAGTATCATCATTTTCTGCCCGCTCAGGAGACAGAACTGCAACTTCAGACTTGAACGTAACTGTGCCATCACTTGCCGGCATGGAGACCTCCAGTAGGTCCTCAATACTGGAATTGAGCTCTGCATTAGCATCCAAACGACATTTTTCATCTACTGGTGTGAACACCGTCTCTTCACTTGGTATAACTGCACTACTACTACTACTACTGCCATCACACTGTGAAATATCATTCAGGTCAAGTGTCATACTGCTTTTTGATGTTTCTCCCTGCTTGCTGACATCACTTGGGGTGGCTCGTGATGGCTTTGGCCTGTGTATGTGACTGGATGGCAATGGCCTTGCTTGGGTAAAAACCGGAGAAAGCTTCTCTGGTTCTTTATTTTCAGGACAGCTTCTCTGAAACTGCAGAGAAAGTTTCTGTTGTGTTTGAGGCGAAGGTAAGGGGATTTTGCAGGGAACGAATCCCTGAGGTCTGAGTTTAGAGACATCTGTTACAGTGCCAGCTGGTACAGATGGGTTTGAAGGAGACAGGAGTGTTGGGAATAGCGACTGGGAATAGTGACTGGATGAGGGAGAAGAATTCAAACACTGACCGTGGGGTTTTCCTTTTGTTTGAATGGCTGGCTTTGGTTGCTCAGTGGTTACTGATGGAACAGGAAGTCCCACAGCAAGGCCAGCCAGAGTCTCAGAAATGTCCTCTGGACTGGCACTCAGTTTTTTATTACTTAAACCTCTCCCACTTTTCCCTGATAACTGGACAGTATTGTTAGGAGTATTACTTTCTGTAGCTTCTGGAGAGTTATCTGGTACAGGTAACTGCAAGAAGTCTTCATGTCGACAATCCCCAGAGTGCGTCTCTTCCATGCCTAGCTGGATGACTTCTGCAACATCCATTTCATCTGCTATTGCCATCAGACGTCGACGCATCCTTACATAATGAGTTGAGCTCATCACACTCAACATTTCAAACAGCTTTACAAAAACGTGGGGCACTCTGGCCACCATTCTTGCTGCACTCAAAAATACTCTCCGCGACAGTTTACCAACCATTGAGTGGGAATTGTCAATTGACTGCAAGGTGAAAGCTAAGAGGGAGAGAAGTTTCTTATACCTAAAAAAAGAAAAAGATGTTTTATAACACTGATGTGGTCTAGTTAATTAGTACCAAGAAATCTATTTCAAGACAGTGTATTTAACTGTCAGTTCTGCAGCAGAAAGGAGACATATTGCTGCACTGGTGCTTCAAAATTGATTTACAGATCAGAAGTTATTTTTTTAAAGAGCAGCCATTTAGTCTAAAGTAAGCACACCTTTCCATATAAATATATACTATTCGTTTATAGGAATTGGAGCAACTTTTTTTTTTAAGGAAATAATAAAATTGTTATGGTTGGAAAAGACCTTTAACATCATCAAGTCCAACTGTTATCTAACTCCACCATGCCCACCTCTAAACCCTGTCCCTGAGCACCATATTCAGATGGCTTTTAAATATATTCAGGGGTGGTGATTCAACCACTTCTCTGGGCAGCCTGTTCCAATGCTTGACCACTCTTTCTGTAAAGAAATTTTTCTTAATATCTAATCTAAACCTTCCCTGGAACAACTTGAGACAATTTCCTCTCAGCCTATCAGTTGTAACTTGTAAGAAGAGACCCACACCCATCTCTCTAAAACCTTCTTTCAGATAGTTGTGGAGAACAGTAACGTCTCCCCTCAGTCTCCTTTTCTTCAGACTAAACAACCCTGAGTGCCTCAGCTGCTCCTCATAAGACCTGTTCTCAAGATCCTTCATCAGCTTTGCTGCCATTCTCTGGGCCCTCTCCAGCACCTCAATGTCTTTCTTATACTGTGGCACCCAAAACTGAACACAGTACTCAAGGTGCAGCCTCACCAGTGCCAAGTACAGTGGGACAATCACCAATAACGCAGGCAACTAGGAAAAGTATAGTCACATAGCATAAGCAAGTACCTGTCTACTACAGTATCAGATTGCAGAACATCTCCACAGACAATGTGGGGATAAAATTCACCAGGAAATTCCAACAGAAGTCTTTCTATTAGACAAAGTCGTCCCAGTAGTGCTTGCCAGTTGCTAGATTCAGTTTGGGTTCCAATAATACATTTTAAGACGTAATCAACACCACCAATACCAATGGACCCTATAAAAAAAGTTGATGAAATAAGGATTACACATGTTTCCAATCTAAAGTGTCATCTAAATAAAGACCAGAACTGTATTATACAGAAATATACCCTGTGTGCCCTAATTACACCGCCTCCCAAACTGCTGAAATACTGTTCTCTTTGCCATGCCATGATGTTGGATAAATCCTGTATTAAATTTGAAACACTTCAGTATATTTGCTTGTAATTACAATTCAATTATATATTAAGAGCTACTATTACCAGATTTTAGTATTTCTCTCCCAACTGCCAGCTCGCCTGCTTGGCCTTTACACATCTCCAATAGCGTTGAGACTGAAAGTTGACTTGTTCGACTGTAAGAAATTAAAACCAAAAAAGTCTCTTAGCAGATGCTTTCAATGAAAAACATTCTAATTGTTTCATTTCAATAATCATTAGTGTGGAACTGTGCATAGAAAGTTATTTCACACCACATTATGCCATTACATTTCTATGATCCTCTATTTGTAAGCTATCATTAGGTCTGGCATTTTTTACAAGGATACTTCCAGAAATGTAATGTCTATCACTAATAAATAAACAAAACCCCAAATAGGAGCTCATCCTCTTGCAAAAACAGGCCAAATCCAAGAACCCAGCAACACAAGGAACAGTTCTATTTCACTTATTCCTTTTGCTTTAGATGTTCTATGGATAGACTATTGCCAGGGCATCTCTAGCTGCAGTTACAGTAGCAATGCTGCTTAGGAACTAAACCTAAAGGGACAAAAATCAAGCTGGTGGACTTCTGCATCTAGTTTAGAGTACGGGTGAAGAAATGGTTGGTCTAGGGTAGCTTGGGACAGGAAGACAAGGCCTACTCAAGCCAGAAATGTCAAGCACATTCACTCAGAATAGCCATCTCCTAACATTACACTACAAAATAATAAGTAGCAGTGTTATGTTAACACTTCATGACTGAGATGCACACAAGCTTCTGTTGAAGAAGGAAACATACATAACCGGTACTTGCTGAAGGGTATTTGTGGACTGCTTAAAGGTGAGTCATGACAGTTAGACCAAAACAGCATTAACTGAGATGGAAGGAATGGTTGATAACTGCACCTAACATCTTCCTTTTTAATAAGGGGAGGCAAAAAAAACCTTATGAAAGGAAAAGATGATTGAAAATCTGTAAGTACTAGAAAAATACAATCAAGTGCCTTGGAAACCTACATAGAATCCTTTGGTTGGAAAAGACATCTAAGATAATTGAGTCCAACCATAACCTGTCCACTACTAAATGATCTCTAAGCACCTCATCTACCTGTTTTTTAAATACCTCCAGGGATGATGAATTCACCACTTCCCTGGGCAACCTGTTCTAACACTTGATAACCCTTTCAGTAAAGAAATTCTTCCCAATGTCTAATCAAAACCTACCCTGGTACAACTTGAGATCGTTTCCTCTTGTCTGATCACTTGTTACTTGGGAGAAAAGACCAACACACACCTCACTACAATCTCCTTTCAAGCAGTTGTAGAGGGGGATAAGGTCTCCCCAAAGTCTCTTCTTCTCCAAACTCAACAACCTCAGCTCCCTCAGCTGCTCCTGATAAGACTTGTGCTCCAGACCCCTCACCAGCTTTGTTGTCCTTCTCTGGACACACTCCAGCACCTCAACATCCACCTTGTAGTGAGGGACCCAAAACAGAACACAGTATTTGAGGTGCAGCTTCACCAGTGCTGAGTACAGGGAAAGGATCACTTCCCTGGTCCTGGTTTGAAGCCAGAGAGTCGTGGTCAATGGGGCGG